CTCAGACAACTCCAGCAAACATCAAGGTAACTGTGTACAGGGTCAAGTGTTAAACTACTAGCTTTGATCAGGGCTCACAGAGCATGTCAAGGCCATCACAGCCTCCTCCGGCTCCTAGACCCCAAACCACGGGATACAAAGGAAAAGCAATGTTGTTGTTTCGGGTAATATTATGTCAAGACAGTGGCAAGGCATTTCAGTGACAATTATCCATTAAGCTACCAGACATTCTAATCTGGTGTTCAGAGTCACGAAATAAGGAAACAGAAGGCGTTGGAATGGAGTAAATATGGACAGTGCTGGATATTAGCATGACCTTTTACAGTTCATAGAGCCCTTCAACACCAATAACTCGTTTAGTATTTACTAAACTCTGCAGCAAAGCAGATCTTACTTAGCATTTCAGACATGGAAATCAACCGTACATGCAAGTTTGCTCATGCTTTCAACATTAGCAAGTGTCAGAACCAGGACTTGAAACCACATCATCAATACTGAATTCAAGAACAAGAACTTGGTATTAATGACATGGTTTTAAATCCTGGTTCTGACACTTGCTAATGTAGATTCTTACTACACTACAGATCCCATCCATTGAGGATTGGAGCTGTACAAAACAGTCCCCAAGGGGAAAAAATATGGTGGCCATAGCCCAGGACACACCTATTGTTAGGGGCCAAAGAGGGTACAATAAAGGAAAAGGAGAACGCACGGTTATGGAGCGAGAAGTAGCCAGAGATCATTTGAGTCTGGAAACCAGGGGGTGAGCAGACACAGGGAGCTTCCAGGATGTGGAAATGGTTAAGTCCTCAGGTATGACTTTGAGCTTCCTTTTTAAAATATTTTTATTATAACTTTCAAAGAAAAGAGGGCAGGTGGCCTGCAGGCCATGGATCGAACACATCTGACCTGGACGAGCAGGAGGATCTATGCTGAGATCACACTCCTGAACATTTTGCTTCTTTCCCTTTGCATGTTCCCTCTCACCGCCATGTTTTGGCTCTAGGTCCCAACTAGATTACAGTCTCCTTGAGGTGAGGTCCGTGTCTCCTTTCCTTTCCTGCCTCTGCACTGCCTAACACAGCTACCTCCACAGACACAGATAGGCAGTGTGAGAGCTGTCTGCGTGCAGATGATTAATCGTCCCTAAAATCCTTCCAAAGGCGCAATCTCATGCCAGAAACACATTTGTTTAAAACATGTGCTTGAATGAATCTGCCTAAATGGTGCCATCTGTTCTCAAGCAGTTTCAGAAACGTTTTAACATGATTTTACCTTTAAAAAGGACAAGCGATGAGGCACGGCCCTGAGACCTGCAGACTTCCTTAACTAAACCCAGAGCAGACACCGACACATCCAATCACATTTAAACAGCTCCCCATAAAGAATCTCTGCTGAGGTTTACAAAATTTTTTTATCTACGAGGACACCAACCACTACTTCATGCCGAAAATATTTATGAGACATCACAGAACTGCAGGCACAGACTCCCATATTACTGCACTTTAATTACAGACTCCAGAAATGCAATTTAATTTTTTGTAAATCTCATATTCCTCTGAAATGGGTATGCGCTTCCAATATTTGTTAATGGTCCACATTTGATTGCGGTTTCAGCGTATCAGTTCCAAAGCCGAAGGCAGCTGTTGAGAATCGTCTCCGTGTTGTTCATGTATATCGATTGTTAATTTGACTTTCGTTACAGTCCTGTAGGATTTATTGTTGTGTGAATATAACAGCGAAATGAAACCCGTGTTTAAGTTCTACAAATAACTTACAGTTACTTCCCAAACACCTCAACTTAGGTTCTAAATTTGAGTTTGCGGTTTTACATGCGCAGTTATTTGCCGATCTACTTTAGTGTGCAAAATCACACACTGGCTAGATTTGGGCATGCTTACTGTGGCAACAAGTAGTGGTTCAAATTGGCAGCATACTCGTCTTGCTGGCTACATCGTCATCACCAAAAACTCTGCCAGCACGTTGGCATCCGTGTGCTTTGCTAGTTGGTATAAAGCAATCATTGTGTATATCAGAAATGTATAGTCACACAAAGAATTTCTGGTTGAAATAGCATCTGTTTAATGCTACCCCATCTGATACCTTTGTAACCCAGACTGAAATGCTTTGGTTAAATCCCATTCTGCAAAGATGGACGTCTGAACATATTCACTCACACACACATTCATTTGGAATTGTCCTCTTTTTTTTATTGTTTGAGAGGGTGATCCTGCTAATTCATCACTCATATATTGAGTCAGATTAATCTCTTTCTTGTGGAAAATAGAAAACGCTAAGATGTATAGAGAATAATGTGTGACCAGCATTTAATATTTTCACAACCCAGAATTTCCTTCTAGAAATTTTTAAGCAAAGTAAATAGCATGTTGCAGGTAAAGTCCCTGTGTTGGCCTTTCATTTCATCCATAAGAAAGCAACCACTTACCATTAACTACTGTATTCTTCTCTTCCACATTTTAATGCATTTCATTATAGTTCCATGAACAATAGATATATGACTTGTGTAATTACAGAAACTCTATCATGGTATTCATGTCATTCTTTACCTTCCTGTCTTTCTTTTAGCATTCTATTCTAAAAATTTATGTTCATTTTCCCAAAAGTTTTTCATTTTAACATCCCTGTAACCCCCCAGTTTATGAATCTTTTATTATAGATTTCCATTTACATTGTATATTTTACGCCAATTTTTGCTGTCCTAAGTTATGCTGCAGTGAATGACCCCACACATGTGTTTTCTGGTATACTTTCCCAAGATTTCTCCCTAGGAAATAGCCCCAACTGTGTGATACTGGGTCATGGATTACAGGCAGTGGCTTCATTCCCATATATTATTGCCAAATTCTCTCTTTCCCCAAAAATAAGACCTAGCTGGAAAACAATCAGCCTTGAAAACTAGAGCTCAAAACTGCCTCAGTCAGCCTGTCCTTGCCTCACCTGCCGTCACTATCGTCTTGCTTGGTGTCCACTGCGTAAGGGAGGTAAGACGAGAGCAGGCTGATTGGGGATGGCATTTTTGATCTCTAGTTGTCAGGGCTGATTGTTTTCCAGCTAGGTCTTATTTTGGGGAAAATGCAGTTCCTCTCAAAAGAGCGTTCTTTATTGATATTCCCATTAGCAGTATACACAAATCCCATCTCCTTACTTCCTCCCCACACTTGCTTTACTAGACTTTATTTTTTTAATGCTTGCTATCTGACGGGTGTGAAATAGTTTTTCCTTATGGCTCTAAGTTTCACAGTTATTACGTATAATTTCGAGCACTTTTCTTCTTCATTAACTGTTTCCAGATTTCTTCTTTATGGGCTCCTGAGTCTTACTCTCTGCCTACTTTTTTCTGAGTTTTCTTTTCATAGGCATTCTTTACTTCAAATATTCTTTTTTTTTTTTTTTTATTTGGTGTACTACCTAGGACCTCCAAAATAATACTGCATAGAAACAGGGAGAGATGATATCCTTCAAATTTTTTTTTTTTTTTTTTTTTGTCAGCTCTATGTATTATAAATACCTTCTCCCAGTTCTTTAACTTTATGGCATGTCTTATCACATACAAGTCTTGACATTTGGGGTTATCTGGTCACAATCTATTCATTTTTCTGTTTTGTGTGTTATCTTGTAGTGCCCAGTATTGCGTTGGGGTGATTAATATGCTTCCGTATTTTCTTGTATTAGTGTTAGTGTTGTGTTATTTTTCACATGAGCTTTTAATTCATTTTTGAATTTATTTATGTGTACATTCATTTTTTTCAAGAGAAGGAGCTAGTTGTACCAGCACCTTTTGTTAATCAGTCTGTCCTTTCTGCACTGTGGTGTGATATCCTCCCTGTGCTCTATAGACTTCCTCAGTGAGCCCAGTGTGTTTCACAGGCCTGGCCCTCACCCCCTGCACCAGTGCCACACTGTTTTAATAATCACAGCTTTATGATATAGCTGAATGTATGGAAGAACAAGTCTCACTTCTTCCTTCTTTCATAAAATTAAGTTTCTTCTTATGTGAAGATTTTCTCTTCCATGATTTTTAGAATCAATTTGTCTTGTTCTGTAAATGAAACCTACAGCATTTTTATTTCAGTCGCTTTGAATATATAGCTATATAGAGACATTTAAAAATAAAATTTTAGTTTTCCCATCCATTTCCCACCTAAATGGAACAGCACATCACTTATTCAAGTTTTCTTTCTGTGTACTTTAATGTTATCTTATCACTTCTCTATCGATTGCGTGTCTTTGATGTACATAACCCTTTGTTAGCTCATTCTCTGTTGCCATTCTGAATAATATTATTTTTTCTGATTAATTATTGTTATTATTAGAACTTAATCCATTTCACATAAAGGTCTCACATCTCGTAACCCTGGTAAACTTTTTAGCTTGTATCACTTTGTTTTATGGAAGCTCTTGCATTTTTGAGGTAGAACCCTGTATTTTCTGTACACGATGACATTTTAATTTCTTCCTATCATTATGCCTTGTAAATCTTTTTCTGGTTTATTTGCCCCTCCGTCTCAGTGCCAATCAGTGGCAGCAGTGATGGGCACCCTTCTCCATGAGTGTTGCTCACAGCGGTGTCAGTGAGATCTCTATTGTACACACTCCCACCCCCACTGCCCTGCCTTCCCATTATGCACTGTCTGTATGTCTGACCAAGGTTAAGGTGTGGATTATAGCTGGAGAGCAAAATAAAGTCATTATCTTGATGCAAGCCCTCAACCTTTACTTCATTAGCACTCATTTGTCACTTTCTGACTCCCCCTCCCCCGCCTCCACATTTGCTGTCAGTCATCCAAGAGGGAGCACATGGAAAAGAACTCACTTTAACGGTCTCAGCCCCAAGCATTTTTGCTCCATTTGACAGTACTGGCCTCATGGGAAATGTGGCACCATTAGGAATATAAACTTAAATCTTCAGATGCTTTTCAATGGTCTTTGAAAAAGATCTTTTTTCTAATGATCTTTGTGTTGCCATTGCTGTCTTACAGACGCCTATGAACCAAGCTTCAACCCGTTCCCACTGCATCTTCACTGTCCATCTGTCAAGCAAGGAGCCCGGGTCTGCAACCATCCGACACGCCAAGCTCCACCTGGTGGACCTGGCTGGCTCCGAACGAGTTGCCAAGACTGGGGTCGGGGGCCAACTTCTAACGGAGGCCAAGTACATCAACTTGTCGCTGCATTACTTAGAACAGGTAGACTGGGCCGAGCAGGACGTGGCCGTAGGACTTCTGTCCTGCGTACTCTACAGCAGGCTCGCATTTCTGTTTTGTGCTGTTCCCTTTTTATTTTGGTAAAATACACGCAACAAAGAACTTACAATTTTAATCATTTTAAGTAAACAACTCAGTGTTGTTAGGTATGTTGCAAGTGGCCTCGTGCTGCCTGGTTTTCCAGGTTACCGTAATAGATCAGGTCTGGGAATAGACTTCAGAGGTGACTGATACTTTTTCAGCTCCTAGTGACTTCCCCAAATCAAAAATTTCGACCCTTCTCTCTCCGAGCCTCTGCTCTCACTCCCCACCTCTGCTCCACACTGACTCCAGTCCGTCCCAGCAGGTGCTCCGTTTCTAAATTTTGAGTTTGACGCTGAGGACAGAGAAAGTAAATCCGAGTCTAACTAAATAAATCTTCCAGTAAAAAGAAAATCTTCCCCTCTCACATGAGTGAATTGAATGAGATGATTTCTCAGGTTCCTTTCAGCTCTGCGAGTGGAAGGGCTGTGAGTTGAATGTTAAAGATGGCAGTGGTTTCTAAATTCTTTTTAAAAAGGAAACAAATCTGATCAAAACTGGGGTGGTGAGCACAGAGTCTATAGATGAGACAGAAGGACTTGTTAATGAGCATTGAGGCTGAAGGATTTGAGAAAAAAAAACAAAACTTTTAAAACTGCATAATGAACCTTTGGAGATCGATGCTGTCTGATGCTAACTGCTTTCCAATGAGCACATCAGCTGAGACAGCAGGCAGAGAGCGACCTATGGGAGTCTGTGTGAACAAGATGGACAGGCCTAGGATCTGACCGAATGAACCCCAGTAACGCAGCACCCAGGAAGCAGGGCCTGCATGGCATTCCGGTCATCTCCACCTTTTGACCAGAGTCAGCAGTGCTGAGTGCGTTCTTGCTCGAATATCCCACACTACTTATCCTTCACAGAGCTTTTTACTTCATAGAACTCTTACAGAACAATGATATGAAAACTTAGTGAACTATATTCAAAGTGCTTTATTTCAAAGAAATGCATCTTCTTGTTTCTGAGAGTAGCACTGTTTTATTTCCCATTATGTCCATCTGTTTGTACAAAATTGCATTCATCGCTTGAAGCCAACTTTGCATGAATTGTATTCACTCAAGGGAAATGTTTTGCCCCTAAGCCCTTTTCCTTCCCAAGTTCTGCACATCCTTTGCAAGCTGCTGCTTTTCACCAAACTACTCCTCTCTTGACATTTCTTCTCTTCAGAACTCTTAGGACACATCACTATTGTGTGAGTAGGCTTGGTGGCTATATAGCATTTGACCTTCCCTGTAAGTATTTATCTAACAAGTATTTTTGCAGACCTATAACACGCTGTGCTAGAACAAAATCGAAACAGTCCTTGCCTCAAAGGTCTCATGGTCCAGCCAAATGGGGTGGTGCATGGTCATCATCCCAGTTCTCTGGGAGGCCGAGACAGGAGGATTAAAAGTTTGACCCCAGTGTGGACAACTTAGAGAAACCCTGCCTCAAAAATACAAGAGAAAAAGGGCTGGGGATGTAGCCCAATGCAAAAGCCCTGAGTTCAATCCCCAGTTTCCCCCCCAAAATAAAAGTCCTGGTTCAGTACAGGGAGATGTATATTGAGTAAGTCGTGATGAAGTCTGTGGTCGTCATCCAGGAATGGTTGTGAGGGGTATTCGTGATGGGGAATGTGACTTAAGCTGAGGAGGGCGAGTCCGTGACAGCTCTCTGCGATCTGACACTAAGCAGAGACTTGAAGAATGAGCAGAAGTGGGCGGGGCCTGGAGGGCAGCTTGCTCCCGCCCAAGGGGACCAGTTCACTGGAGGCCCCAAGGTCATTCACGTGCCGTTGACCTCAGCCCTCTGTGATTAACTTATCTGTTTTAGTTTCTCCCACTTCAACTGTTTACCATGACACCCAGTGTCTCTCCGGGCAAGGACGGCTTGGCACAAGGTCAAGGAAAGAGAATAGATTATCCCAAGGGCAAAGCAGTGCATAATGTAGGAAAACTGCAGGCTGTAGACACAGACGCACGGCGTTGAGTCTAGGAGGAGCTGCTAGAGCGAGCGGATGGATAAAGAGGAATTTTGGAACGGCATTCAGAAAAGCCAGTGGGGGAGACCCAAGGAGGATGTGCTAGTAAGAGTAATAAAAGAGTGGGAAGATGCGTAATGAAATAACATGATTCTAAGATGTTTATAATCCAATTCTCTTTCTGTAATACTTCATTACACGGCTAAGGGGCCTGGACATGGGATGCAACTTCGTGTAACTGGGTTTTTTCACCCCCTCGTCAGTACACTGTGGTCCGCCGGGTGCTGTGAGTTACAGCAGGCAAAGGGATGAACTCATGACTGCAAGAAGGGTGTGCTGTCGTGCTGCCAGCGAAACAGCAAAGCACACAAACGCCTGCATCACAGCAAGCTAGCGCTGGAGGAGAAATCCACAGACACCTTGCAGATTGATCGCGGCCTTTCTGTCTCAGTTCCACTGTCAGAGATAGAGGCCAGAACAGGAAAAGCGTCTATTCGCCTGCCTTGCTTTCCTTAGGCTGCACTGGCTTAGGAATTCCATGCAGAATTCTGAGCACCCTCTTGGCCATCCCCGGGAGCCCTCACACCTGCTAGGAGCCCACAGCCTGTCTCGTTGAATGTGCCTTATTATGCTCCTAAGTGAGTAACTTTGTGTTTCCCTGAGCAGCATTGGTTTTGGAATCGGCTCTGTGTATGCAGTACTTTTTCCAACAAGTTTCCTCAAAAAACATTTTCAGCCACAATAACAGGGTCCACTTTGGCCCTAGAAATGGAGTTCATGCGAGGCAAAGGCAGGGAGCCGGGCACACTTGTGCTCCTGGCTCTAACCTCACTGAGTGGCCCTGGAGTGACCCGAGGTGACTGTCAGCCCAGACACCAAGGGAACAACGGCTGGGAACCAAGAGCGTTCGCCCTGCACCCCTTCGGAAATCAGCCTCAGCTCCTTCAGCAGTTACGAAACAGAAGCGCGACTTTTCCAGAGCTCCGGTTTCCATTTGGCTCCCGCTGAATGTGTTGTGTTCAGAAAAAAAAAAAATTAATGGGGCAATGCCAGTCATAACTGCTCCAAGTTGGTGTCAGTTTCTGAGGATAATTTTTCATGCCTTTCTGAGCTCTTTAAATGAAAATCTCTTTATTTCATTAAATAATAAGCCAAATTATTGATGCCAACCATAGCTTCTCGTTCCTCTCAGACAAGCATAATGTGAGGTTCCACTCTGTCACTTAAAGAATGCCTGAAGGAACATTTGTCATTGTGTTTATACAAGAAAGCCAAAATGGAAGCAAACTTTCACACATGAGCACACGCGCGCGCACGGCCAGGTTGTAGGCGCGCGCCCTGCCCCTGTGCTTTGAGAAGATAGCTGAGCTCCTGCCAGGTAGAGAGCCCACGGCAGCCTCCCTCCTAAATACCTGCCATTTCCGGGTCACTGCAGATCCACACCCATCCCTGCAGGCCCCGGCTCACTGTGGCATTCCTAAAACGCCTGGAGAGCTAAGATAGCTGCTCCGGGTCCTCTCCTAAAGAAACGGCCCAGGCCCGCCTTTGCGTGGCTAAAACTAATCTCCAAAGAGATTGCAAAGAGCAAATTTTTCCTAAAGACTCTGCACACCTCTGAGTACTTTTTGGTTCTCTAAGGGCTATGCCAGACATTATATCTATTGATACAGAACATTGAAGATACATTGATTGATTTAAAACATTTATTCAGCAGGTAAGCACTGGAATCCCTGTTCGTTTACCTACTTCTGGTAGTATTAAGGATTGCATCTAGGGGGCTGGGGATTTAGCTCAGCGGCAAAAGCGCCTACCTGGCAAGCGCAAGGTCGTGAGTTCGGTTCCCGGTTCCGGAGAAAAACCAAAAAAAAAAGGATTGCATCTAGAGTCTTCACACTACATCCCAGTCCTTTAAATAATAATAATAATTAATAATAATTTTTTTTGAGGCAAGGTCTTGCTAAGTCACTTAGTTGCCCAGGCTGCACTTGTACTTGTAATCCTCCTGTCTCAGCCTTCTAGAGTACCAGGATGACAGGCATGTATCACCTCAGTTGATTTTTAATCTCCCTTTTACTGGTGAGGAAACCAGGGATAATAAGTTTTAGAGTTGTGCCTAAGATCACACAAGTGGGGAACCTGGATTCTGACTCCAAGTCCTGAGTTCTTTCATCACCTGTGGCTTCATTCCCTCCATTTGTAAAGCCTGTAAGCCAACTCATAATTCCATGTTCATTTTTGTGTATTCTTTAGCAAATTTTAGAACGCCTTCTGGAGAGAACATTGGAATTTACTCTGCCACGTCCATTCCAGGGGAACAAGAACCCACCCCAGCTCTCAAGGTTGAATCTGATGGTCTAAACAAATTGCAACCCAACTTTCTCCTGGCTCCAGTGACAGGCTCAGGGTAGGCCAGGACCCAAGCCAGTCCCCAGAGAAGCTCAGGACTTTTTGTCTAATGATTAGGGAAGAAAAGTCCTTTCTCGCTAAAGTTAGGAATAACAAAGCGTAGAACATCAGGACATTCGGCAGCGCTCTTGGGGCTACGGGCAGAGGCTACCTTTGACCACATGGAAGAAGGAACAGATGTGTGGGCCAAAACTAAGCTCTTAGTGGTAGCGCTGACTTTTGGGTCATTTCTAACCTACAGCCTTTCCTATTTCAGTAATGAGACAATAATTTTCTCTCATGATCAGAACCAGGTTGGGTTACATTTTCTGTTATCTGCAACCAAAAGCGAATTCAATAATACAATTTAATAGCAACAGGAAGTTTGACAAACATATTCATCTTTGTTATGTAAGTTGTCAATAAATCCTTTGAATAGAAAAAAAAGGGGGGGGGGGGAGTCAGTGTTGTTTCCAGGAGCAGGAAAAACAATCATGGCATTTGCTTTAGGAAGAAACTTCAAAGTACTCAAGAACTGTTGTGTGCTTGCTTGATGATTCATAAACAATAGTGTGGCTCTGTCCGCACATCAGTCAGACAGACCCCTGTCGGGTCTGGCATTTGGTGTTTTGGCCAACTTTGCTGGTTTCAGATATGTAATTTGTCTTCTTTGCTCTTCGGGTCTGGAGCTCTGTTCCACATCTCTTGTCACTCCGACTTCCGTCTGCCCTGTCCCCCCTCTCTTTCCCAGTTCCACTGGAATTAGCTTCCCCAGATCCCACTCCCTACTACAGACCCTCATGCCGCCTTCCTAGGAGAAACCGACTCATCTATCTCTTCCTACTTTCCTTCATTTAACAAGAAAATGTGTTAAGCACATGTTGTATTCATCAGAAAATCCACACTAGTTATTTTAAGGAGCATAGCGTTTGCTGAACATAAAGCGTCTCAAGAAAATCCAGAGAACAGAGCTTGGCTACTGCCTAGCCAGGAGCAGAACAATGAGAAGACACTGAGTTGTACCCTGTGAACTGCAGCACCGTGAAGCTTGAAGTGGAGCAGTGGCAAGAGGGAGTGGGGAATGTGGTCCACGTCTAGGTCCATTTTGTAGGTAAAAGTAATGGAAATTGCTATTGGCCTGGGGATCGGGTAAATCCAGGATGATGATGAGGCTTTGGGCCATTACTGGTGATATGGTGCCATTAATAATGATGGGTGAGGCCTGGAGAAGAATCAGGGTTGGGGCAAAAGAGGAGAAGAAACCCAGAAGAGAAGTCCGGGGGAGATGTTAGAGTTGCCAAGAAGATGGCGCTTGCGGGGAGAAATTGAGATTGAGGCTGTAAATAAGAAAGGGGGTTGAGAACAGTTCTGGCTGTGGGAGAAAATGAGCCTTTCTTCACGGTTGGTGAGAACGTAGACAGTACAAACACTGTGGCAATCCGCATGGAGATTCCTCAAAACAGTAAAGTTGGACATACCATTTGATCCAGCTACACCGCTCTGTGGGATAGTCCCAAAATAATTAACGACATCAAAGTAATGCGATGCGTGCAAGCATGCCCATGTTTACAGCAGCACAGTTACAATAGCTAAGCCGTGGAAACAGCCCACACAGCTGCCAACGGATGGACGGAGAAAGCTAATGTGGTGTATATATACACAATGGAGTATTATTCAGCCACAAAGAAGAACAAAATCACGTCATTCACTGGAAAGTGGATGGAGACGATCGTGTTAAGCTTAATAAGCCAATCTCAGGAAGTTAAATACCACATTTCCTCTTATATAAGTCATCTAAATCAATAAAATAAAGGTGAGGTGACAGGAAACTAGAAGGTAAGATGTTTAGGGATAGGGAAGAAGCCAAGGGCGAGGGAGGACAGCAGGAAAGTTAGTAGGGATGACAATGATGCAAACATTTTATACACACACATCAAGACGCTATAACGAGTCTCATTATCCTGTAACAGTAATACACACTTATAACATAAACAGAGTTCAGGAATGCTCCAGTAGTTACAATTTAGAAGGAAGGAAAGGACGCATTAAATAACTGTTTTAAGGAAAGATGAAAACCAAGAAGGCACATTGTCCTGTGAATAAGGTGTTTCCCAAAGGCAGCAGGGAGTGCCTGTGCTGACCGCCCGCCTGCTCACCTCAGAGTCTAGCGCGATGGCAGTTCATGCTGGGGGCACGGCGGCCTCCTGGTGACATAGGTGAAAGTCGCCTTAGCCTCGTGCGGCAGCGGCATGTGGTACGGGAGGCATCCAGATGAGCAGCAGCACCTGATGCTGAAGAGGGAGGAGGGTGTGGAAGCAGCGTGGATGGGAGAGCAGGTGCGAGGCTGGAGGACCGACCTCGCGGGGAGCAGGACCGTGGCAGGAGGGAGAGCAGAGCATGGGACTCGGGGCTTAACGAGGGGCACGAGAGGGCTCTGGCCAGGTTGCTTAGATCAGCTAGAAGGGCGGTCAGTAGAGTCGGGGAGAAAAGCAAAGGAGGGACAGGGATTTGAAGAGAAAGGAGAAGGCGCAGAGGCCTCCTCTCTGAGGGTGGAAAAGTGACTGTGAGACAGAGATCACCCAATTGCTGGCTTGTAGTGAAACCTGTGATCTTGGACTTAAAGTACAATTCACTTCTTCTTGCTCCAAACAGTCTTCAAAAAACAGTTCAAAGGAGTCCAAAGGTTGTGACCATGGAAATCACACAGCCAGGCGGAGGCAGGACTAGAACAACAGGTGTCGGCAGACGTATTTTGGGAGCCAGGGTCGTGTGGTGCCCCTGAGATCACATTCCAAGGGCATCTAATTTCAGCTGCTCTGCCATGGACCTCCGAGCATGGGAATGTCCCCAGGGCAGCCCTGAGCCCCTGGTGTCCCCTCTGGGGACAGCCCTGGCCATCTCTGCCCCACTAACAGCCATCCACCTCGTACCTTCCCATTAAGAAACTCATGAGGAGTGAGGTGAACAAGCGCAAGTTGAACCAAACTAACCTACCATGTCGCTCATGATGACAGCAAACACACACACAGCACCAGTTACAGCTACTTACCGACAGTAATCTGCACTTTGCAACCCTTTCGGCCATCCCAATAATTTATCTCTGTTTTATGTAAGAGGGGGACTGAGGCAGAGCTGTTGAGTGCCGTGCCCGAGGAAGACCAGGATTTTCACCTAGACAGTCATGGGTGAGATTGTGGGATCGCAGCCTCTACCCTGTGCAGCTTCCCGTAGTTCTTATTTACCGTTCTGCCCCTCCTGCCTTTGCGCATACAGCTCAATTTTGGCAGGACTAAATTAATCAGGCATGATTGTTGTTTTTATACAGCTTTTCCAGCAGTGGAAAACAGAATAATAGCATGTCCAGTCCTGTAAAGATATGTCATCTGTCAAATTCCAGAGCTCACCATGCTGTGTTGATGCTACTCTTACTTGAGTCCATCATCACCATTTTTTGCTGAATATTCTTAAGAGATTTAGTCTGTGCCCAAGTTCCAGGTGTCACCCTGCATTTAGTTACTCTTTCTCTGTGTGGGCCGTTGCAGTTAGGTGCACGTTTTCTGCCAAAGTAATGCCTTCTCTTTCCCGCAGGTCATCATCGCCCTTTCGGAGAAGAACCGCTCGCACATCCCTTACAGGAACTCCATGATGACCAGCGTCCTCAGGGACAGCTTGGGAGGGAACTGCATGACGACCATGATCGCCACGCTGTCCTTGGAGAAAAGGAATATTGAGGTACGTTGTTTCCTCTCACTGGAGATCTTCTCTGGGTTTCTCTGGCCAGTTTGGGAGCTGGAGCTGAAGGTTCTGGGTGAGTTAAAAGACCACAGAATTCATAGATCTGGGTTATTTGCAGCCTTGTAATAACCCCACTTGAGAACTGACTTCACATGGCGCGGGATGCTTTGAAGAAACCTCATGCGATTTTGGAAAGCCCGCCAATGAGTCTGTTCTCACCCACAGAAATGAGAGAGGTGACCTCTCAGCCTCTAGCTGTTTTGCTCCTGACGAGTGAGGTCTGGATAGCTCAGAGACGTCCCCAAGATCTGTCCCTAAAATCTGTCCCTAGACATGCGGGGTGCACTGCTCAGCATGCAGGGGCTGGTGCTGAATGGCCTTCCCAGGCTGCTTTGGAGCCAGCTTACATTTCACGCAGTTCAGTTTGATGTTTGGGGTCCAGGCACTCTACAGAGAGCAAAACAGAAAGCAGCAGGGCGCTTCCCAAAGCCAGGCCTCGCCCTTGAGGCTGAGCCATTTTGAAAAGCCTCTCTTTTGGGTCTTTCACAAATATTTATTTTGTTGTCTTTCGTGTTTATGGATTATGATACCAGCTGCTATGTATTTCTGGTTTAACAGATTAATAGTGGAAAACACACACCAGCTGCCATTTAGGAGATCAGGATCTCCCATGTTCTCAGTATTGGTCATTTTATTCAGCCAAAACCAAACTTTTGTAGAAAATAATGTCCTAGGGCAAAGCTCCCTCATTTGGAGGCGTCATTCTTCACTGTGGTTTTTTATGCACATCATCCTTTAGGTGTGCATCTTTTTTCTGTGAATAAAACCTAAGTTCTATCTAGAAAGAAATTGCTGTCTATGCCACAGCATTTTAAGAAGTGATTTCTGCCTTTTTCAGGAGTCTATATCCACCTGCAGATTCGCACAGCGAGTGGCTCTCATAAAGAACGAAGCCGTCCTTAACGAAGAGATTGACCCCAGATTGGTATGCTGCTTTAACTGTGCTTAGGGGACAAGGTGTTTCAAGGGCCAGCTAAAACGTAGAGGGGTTATGCTCACTCCTTGCGAGGCAGTGTTCTAAGTGCTTGGAAATGCACTGGCTGAGTAAACTCTCAAAACAAACAGAGGAGGAGAAGCCGTCTCTGTCCCTAAAGAACAAAGTCAAGGTCTAGCGATGTTAAATAACTTGCCAACGCTTGGTGAGCCAGGAGCCGAACCAGAAAGCTGTGCCTGGGAGTCAGTGCCCTGCCCTCCGGTCCCCACGGCTTCCCTGTGGAGCTGGGTGAGGTGTCCCTGGGGCCCACGCAACAGAATCTCAGCATCAGATGTCCGTGTGGCTCGCAGCCTTCTACAACCCTCAGTCTGACTGTCCAGACACATTAAATAAGAGGCCATCTTTTGTTTTTTGTTTTATTTTGTTTTGTTTTCCGATACCGGGAGTTGAACTCACAACCTGGCGCTTGCCAGGCAGGCGCTGTGCCGCTGAGCTAAATCCCCAGCCGAGGCCATCTTTTATAAAAGCTGATAAAAAAAGAGGACTCCTAATGGTTATTAAAGAAAAGCATTTTTATAACTGTCCTGTTATTTATTTTAGAGATCTTTTTAAAATGAAAGTTAACTTTATGGAAAAACTACGAAGTTTCTTGTTCTATACCAATAAATCCTGCTTTATCAAAACACTTTTATAAGTAAAAACATTTGCGAGGTATAAGATTCAGCTATTCATTTTAAATGCCAATATTCTCTTTTTTTGTCTATTTTATTAGTTTTCTGTAAAGGAAGTACAGCAGTGAATCAACTTATTCCAACATTGAAATGTTGAAAGAAAATACCTGTTTTGTCCATTTCCATTAAATTAAGAGTATCTGGGGCTGGGGATTTAGCTCAGCAAAAGCGCCTGCCTGGCAAGTGCAAGGTCGTGAGTTCGGTTCCCGGTACCGGAGAAAAACCAAAAAAAAAAAAAAAATTAAGAGTCTCTTACTTTTCAAATTACCCAGCTTGGGGCTGGGGATATAGCTCAGTGGCATAAGCACCTGCCTGGCAAGCACAAGGTCATGAATTTGATCCCCAGTACTGAAAAAAAAAAAAAAATCAAATCACCCAGCTTTTCTCATTTCTCTAAGAAATAAGCTGATGTATGCATTACTTAAAAACATGAAATCTAACAGTGCTTCATTTACAAATTTCTCAACTTTAAAAAAAAAATCTCAGATCCATCATTCCCCGTATTACTTACTTTCTCTTGGTTATTTCCCTTTTCTCCCCGGAAGTGATTCCATCTGTTCTATCCTGGTCACCTCAGGTAGCACCAAAGTTCCTTGACGGAGTTTTGTTGTTTTTTTTTTTACTGGAGAAACCAACAGGTAAGATAGAATCTACTTCCGGTGCTGGCCCTGGTGAGCACTGTGCAGAGCCACAGCTAGGGAGAGGGGACAGAAAGCAAAAGCATAAGCCAAGGAACGTTGCCCTTCTAGGGTAGCTGGTTCTGCTGTCCTTGTCCTTCCAGCAGTCCCATAGCATTTCTGCGCAGAATGAGAGAGACAGGAATGGCATTATTAGCCTGAAGACAGAAATTGGTTCATAATTTAAGGAAAATAAACACATTAGGCATTGGAGAGTTTTGGCCAGAGAAACTTTTCTCTAAGTGGAAATTTAGGAATTCAAAGAAAGGCAAATGCTGTCATGTGTCTGATGTAGAGCTGTCAGAGAGTCGAAGAAAAGAGAGACCGGGAATGAAAAGCTAGTAGTCAATAACTGGACAAACTGCTGAGGTCTTCCTGGTACAGAAAGAATAATCCGGTACTGACAAGTGTTGTTTCCTGGTCTCTTCCTTAATTGCATCTAAAACCTGACATTGCTGTTTATTAGTCTATGTACAGAGCTTGTCTGAAGTACAAGTGACAGCTGAAAATTTGTCCTAAAAATCACCCAAGACACAGTTGGATGGGATTTCCTGTTTCACTCTTAAGTTCTACTGGCAGGCCTTGCTTTTACTCTAAGTATTGGTACCTCAGAGCGACAAGGTGATAGGAGAACTGTGGGCCAGGCTGGAGTCTGTGACAGCTGGGCCGGGGCCAGACTCCTCTAAGGATGGCTCTAATTCCAGAGTTCCTGCAGTAATCTGCTAGGAGGTGTGACTGTGGTCATCTCAAACCATGAAAATGTGGCTGAGTTTTGAGGTAGGCATTAAACTGAAGACATCTCCCTCCCTAACATCAAACCGGTGAACGTGAAACCAAAACAATCGATCCACGAGCATAAGGAGATGTTAAGACAGCTTGTCTGCTTTCACCTGGATTCTAGATAAAACAAAAGTGCTTTGTAGGAAATTTGAAACACTGGGGTCTACTTCTCATGAACTTGAATTCCTCTTTACACACCCTCCTCAGTCTGGAAACCACCAACCAAAGAGGTTAGAAAATGAACAAAACTTCTCAGTGGAGAAGGAGAGAAGGTTGGAAGGAGGGAGATCTGTCTTGATTTGGTTTTTGTTTGTTTTTTGTTGTGTTTTGCTTTTAGTTTTTAGCAATACCAGATATTGAGAGAGGAGGAAGTGCTGGACTGAGCGTGCTAATTTCTGTTTTAGGAAGTTTTATTATGGTATCGTGTACTATGTATGGTTGTCATGATCTAGTTCGGTTATTTCAGGAGTTTAAAGATAATCTAACACTAGGAAACATATCACTGTACATAGTAAAAGAAAAACAGGAACAAAGAAAGCCAAATTTAGGATAATGATAATGGGGGATTAATTTAAGGAAGGCTGTACAGGATGAGAACTTCGAAGGGGTCCATAGTGTTTCTTTCTGAAGTAATGGGTACACGGGTATTCACTTAAGCTAAGCAGTGAGTAACGATTCTTTTATACCTTCTTGTGTATTTGAAATAGTTAATACTAAAATAATCACATGAATTAAGGTGATTCATCACATGAGCAGCTTAAGAGAAAAAAACTTGTGTGATCTCCTCGCTAGTTGCATAAAAAGTATTTGATAACATTAAGCATCCATCCACATGTTGACAAAATTCATCAAACTATGGTATCAGTGAACGTCTTTAAACTGATTAAGCAAAGTAATGAAAAATTTATAATAAACACCACTTGAAAGGTGAAATGCCAGAAGGAATAAAATAAGCATCTTAAGAATTATAGTTAGACGTTCTAGCTAGGACAATGAAACAGTAAAAGGAAATACATGCTTGCCTGGCAAGCGCAAGGTCGTGAGTTCGATTCCTGGTACCAGAAAAAAAGACAAAAAAATAAAAATTAAGGAAATACGATACATGCAACTAGAAAAGAAGAAAAGCATCAATCATGACCAGCAATTTCATTGCTTATAAAGAACATCCAAGAATATTTAGTGATCAATAGAACCAAAAATGTTCAGAAAATTGTTTGATACATAATCCATACTTAAAAATGAGTTTCATTCCTATACACCAGAAGCCAGCAGCTATAAACCATAACTTCACAAAACTCCATTCACAGTATCATCAAAAACTTTTAAATTCTTGGTCCATATTCTAGCTAAAGACACATAAGATACATAGAAAAGCTTAAAGTTTTTTATGGGAAGGAGTCAGTGAAGATGTTTACTAAATTCATGGATGGTGTGGTTCGATACAGTATTGTTAATTCAATGTCTTACCAAGTTAACCTTTTAGATAAATGTAATTCCAGTAAAAATCAGAAGAGGGTCTTTGGCAGAATTTGACACTCTGGGCCTAAAGTCTGTACGGAAGAGCAAATGGCCAAGAGTAGCCAGCTCTGGTCTTATAAAAAAAACAAGATGGAAAGGGATTGTCTTATTTAGTTGCAGCTTTTTAAGGCAGAGTACCTAAAAGCATAGGACTGCCAAATATACACAAATTGACAGAAGCCCAGGAACAGGCAGGTTTCTATGCACAAACACGTTACAGAACATAATTATAATAGCAACCCTTGTACGGTAGCCATATAAAAGTGAGATTTGATCCTTGTCATACCTTGTACACAATAAAATTCACAGAAGTGTGAAAAGCAACATTTTAACACTTTTTAAAAAGACCATATAAGAATATAGTGCTCTGGTTTGGGTAAGATGGTAAGAAAATACAAAAGCTCAACTCATAAAGGGAGAAGCTTCTAATTAAATTATATTGAAATTCAGAACTTTCCTTTAACCAGAAAACAAAAACCTCAAATTAAAAACCATGGCATAGACTGAGAGAAAATAGGTGCATTGCATAAAATCAACAAAGCACTCACATCTGGAATATATAAAGAAACCTGCAGATTAATAAGGAAAAGAAAAATAAGTTAATTGACACATGGAGGGCCGGGAATATAGCTCAGTGGCACAAGCGCCTGCCTGGCAAGTGCAAAGTCCTGAGTTCGATCACTGGTGCCGCAAAAAAAAAAAAAAAAATGACACATGGACAAGACTGTGAGTAAATAACTGTCAAGAAACCCAAACAGCCGAAGTATAAGAGTAAAGATGGTCAACTTCACAGGTAATTATGAAAACACAAACTAGGTACCATTTCCTGCCTACCAGACTGACAAAATTAGAGTACCTGTCAGTATTACATAATGTGGCAAAAAATGTGGAGAAACAGGAAATACACATATCATTAATAGGAAGGTAAATTTTTACAGCTCTGCAGAGTGATCTCCATACCATAAAGGCAAAATGCCCATGCTCCACTACTAAGAAATGCTAATTTTAGTGTACTCTATAGAGAAGCTTTCACCTGGGAGCCCGGGGAGATTTCTCACATTCTCAGCAAAAGTAAAATCCTAATTGCTCATCAACAAGACACGCAGAGAAACAAAATGCAATATGTTGATAACACTATATATTCATAAGCATTAACAAACTACAGCCCCAGGAAACAATGTAAATAAACTCAAAAACGTAAGGAAAAAAAAAAAGCCCCAGTTACATGCAATAATATAACATTTCCATTTTTAGTTGAAGGCATGAAAAACGATATCATTCATTATGTACAGGTACATCCATACATATGGATTAAATGTGTGAAAACATACAGGGACGTGACACCCCCTAAATGCCTCAGTCTGATCCCTCAGGAAGGATGGAAAGGAAACAGGAACAGCGGGTTCCAGTTAAGTGTAATGTTTTAAGGGTTAAAAAAAAAAATAGTTCCAGAACTATTTTGACAAAATTAAATCTTTATATAAAGCTGGCTGGTAGCTATAGTAATGCCTTCTATATCATTCTCTGTCCATTTGCGCACCCTTAGAAGCTCACAATTTAAAAGGCTGCATGTTCTCTACAAGTTGGCATTCACACGCCCACCTTGCCCCCTGCAGATGATTATTCGCCTGCAGAAGGAAGTCCAGGAGCTGAAGGATGAGCTGGCCATTGTCAGCGGGGAGCAGAGGACAGAGGCGCTCACAGAAGAGGAGCTCCTGCAGTAAGCTTGTGCACGCTCACGCGCACGCACACGCACACACACGTCTCTTTCTCTCTCACAGTGAAAGTTTGGGTTAACTTCCCCGTTGGCCTCAGCCATACGAATTCACCTCAAAGCACGTCGGTCCCCTGGGACAGTCTGAAATTGCATGGAGGCGCCGGTTAAGAGTGGCGGCTTTCCATGAAAAGCTGTAGAAGGCTGGCAGTCTTTCTGCCGCCTCAGCTCTGAGGAGGCGAAGAACGGAGCGTGGCAAGGATGGGAAAAGCCTTCTCATGCCAGCCACAGGAGAGGCTGGGCAATAGTCATGCAGTTGAGAAACACACTCAACTGTGGGTCTCAGATCTGAGAGGAATTCAAGCAAAACCTTTGTACGCAACTGCATCTTGCTGCAAGCACCAGTTTATCCCATGCCAAAGTAAGCTCTCTCCCTTAATAAATCGATGGCCCATATGTTACAGTTCAAACACTCGCGCTGCGAATGAATGCAGGTATTCAGGGCTTCATAGAAGCGCGGCATCTTTCAGAGCCTGTGGATTTGCAGCCAGATGGCCTATCAGTGACACAATGCGGCTTTCTTTCTCTCCGATGGTGAGCATGGTGGTGGGCTGTCTTGCTGCTTCATGCTGCTTATTAAGCATTCATGCAGTGGTGAGAATGGAGTAGACTTAGAAGGCAGGGCATTGTATTTCCAAATAAGAAATAGAGCTGCAAAAGTTTTCTGAAGATAAATGCCATTTCACCTCATCCTCCCTCAACAGAGAAAATGGTAAATGAAAGAGACAGTGAAAGTGGTGTTCTTGGGGTGGAGGGTATAGTCTAGAGGTAGAATACTTGTCCAGCATGCACAAGGCCCTGGGTTTAATCCCCAGCATGGCAAATGAAGTAAAAGTAGTTTTCTTTAAACTACTGTACCATTGCCCATGCAGTACAGCTAAAGCTGGAGAAGCCTTCAGCCAGGTTCCTGTTATATTCAAAGCACTCCCCCATGGCCTTTCCTAATTTCGATGCTGTGTTTGTAATATGATAAGCCCCAGAAGCTTTCCTTACAAAACTACCTGAAGGCATATTTGCAATTAAAGTGAGGTATATTGCCCAAAACTCACCTTGTTAAGAATTTCGTGTCGCTCTTTGAAATAACTTGAGATATCCTTGATACTGAGAACAGCAGGCTGAGAATTTTTTCATTCCTTCCCCCTCAAAGAAGACATCTTTTCTGTATTTTTATCTACATCCAGCCAGGAAAACAAGACCACTCCAGGCCTTTCAACAAAAGGATTTAATATAGGAAATTGCGATGGTTTTGCTGAGCAGCTAAACAGGGTGATACAGACCCCCAGTCATGGGTAACACAGGAACTCCTAAGCCCTAGGACTGAAGGGACAGTGGGACAAGGTGATGTTACCAAGAGCCAACAGCTGGAGCTGGCTGTAGGAGTTCAACCTGATGGCTGGGGATGAACAGGAGTGGTGGCCACTGATGGGACTGAGGCGCAACTTCAGACGCTGTTCAAGGGGCATCCTTGACCCCTCTCATCCCTCTTCCAGGCATCCACCAGTGCCTCCCATTGGCTAAATTTAGTTGGAATCCAGTTGTTATAGGAGTCAGGAAATGTGTTTTCCTGTAATTCACAGTCAAACAGGAAAGATGCAAACTAGAGCTTAGTGCAACATATCAAATAAGAATCAGTGTCTTCTCTAATTTCTATAACCTGTATGTTGCTCAGGAGACTCAGTTTAAGGGTAGAATTTTTAGGAAGGTGATTTTGATATATCAGACTAGTTTGCCCTGCACGAAATCCAGAGAATTCTAGAACTGATGTAAAGAAACACATGAATCGCTAGCCACACCCATCATCCAGAAGTAGACTTGTCAAGGAGCTAGAGGCTCCGAGGAACTCCTCAGACCGCGCAAGGTGGGGGTTGAGGTGGGCAAAGGGACAAATGAAGACACGGTGTCACACCTTAAAGGCTCCGGGGCTAGACGTAGAGGAATGCTGGCGGGGAGAGGGCTGGAAACCTCTAATGAATATCCAGCAGGGCTACTCTGTGAGGCATTTTCCTCCAAGCTCCCGTGCGCTCCCCCTTCACAGGGTCTAGGATGGAGAATAAGGAAGGGCCCAGGTCACTGTCACAGATAAGCTCTGTGCGGCAGCTGGGGTCCTCATCTACCCAGCTGCTGCTCTCACTGGAAACAGTGAGAAACACAAGCACTCACAGCCGCCTCAAGCCCCATTTGAGCCAGCTGCCCACACCGAGACATCTTGGGAAGACGAGCCCACCATCAGGAAAGACTGCAGATAGCAACACCAGGAATGCCGAAAGTCGGAGAGAGACAAAAGCAAAAGGAATTTACAACTTGCAGCGGCACAAAGCTAAGCCTTCTGAAAAAGAGTAATATCTTTAGAAAAATAAAATATGTGTTACATCCCTGAAACAAAAGCAGAATCAAGAGGAGATCTTGGAATTCAAAGCAACGTACTTGCTGTCACTGAGAAATTACTAGATGGCTCGGTTGCAGAATGAAAGAAAAACCAAGTTGCACATGAGGGAGTTGGGAAGATCAGGACTGAGGAATTGCAGCCAGAGGATGAGAGGAAATGATAAAGCGACGTTTAAAATAAAAAGGCTCACAGAGAGTCACTCCAGATTTACCACCTCTAGTGACTGGAAATTTGCAGGGAAGAAAAGAAAGATAATAGAGGAGCCAATAGTTGAAGAAATAGTATCTAGGAACTGCTTAGAACTAAACACCACCCACAAAAAAGCCATAAAACTTCAGAATGAGCGAGTTATCAGGTCCTTAGCTGGACTGCAGAAAAAATTGAGAACCTTAAACTATAGGAAAGAATCTTAAAAGTTTCCAAAGAGGAAAAAATTAGCAAAAATTAAGAATCTGACTTACATCAGACTTTTCAGCAGCTCTGGAAACAAGAATTTCAAATGAAAAACAAACAAAAAACAAAACCAAAAGCACTTTAAATGTATTTTTCTAAATCTAGCCAAATTAGCATCCAACTGCGAAGATGAAATAAAGGCATTTTGTAGACATAAAAGCTTTCAGACAGAACGGGTACAGCCCTAGGGCCTCTTTCCAAGAACCACCACAGATTGCGCTTTAGCAGTAAAACAAAAATGCAATAAAGTATAAGACACAGAAAGAATGCACAATCTCTTATTTATGATACTTAAACTGCATATTTACATTATATCATTTGCTAATTGTCATTCATTCTACACTGAATTTTTCAGTTTAAATTAGTAAAATAACAAGCAAATATTCTGTCCATGGGAGACTGAGGAACGGAGTGAAGACACAATTATGGAAACAAGTTGAAATACTGAAAGGACTTCTAGGTCTTGGATTGATTTATGTTGATCTTTAGATAACAAATATACAAATATAAATCTGAACAGGTTCAACAGAAAGTCTATAGATTTGCGTTAGTTTTTTTACATTTAACTCATATATTATTCATCCAGCATTTGCAAACAACAGTAGCTTCTAAAAAGAACACAAAGATGAGCAAAACCTAGATTCTGCTGCCAAGGGGCTCACAGTTTGGTGGTGATGATAGTAACAATGGTGCGATCCACATGCATTATGGGAAGACACATGCAAAGCACAGCCCCACAGAGACGTAATGCTCTACGTATAACACAGTGTCTCATTAGTGATTTCTGATCAGCAGCTAGGGAGAATAAATGTGGCAGACCACATCTACCTTGCCAAGACATAGGGTTTCACAACAATGCAGTAAATTTGGTGGTTGTTCACGCTGACAGTGTGAATTACTCAGATCAGTATGTTGTTCTTATTGTTTTTTGAATACTGTTCTTCTCGTTGCGTTTTTCCATAATTAGCTAGATTGAGTGCTAGTGCAAGCTAAATGTTAACAGGTTAAAGGGTCTGTTATCCTCTTAAAGTGAGAAAGATAAATGAAAACTTGCCCCTAACATGGCACTGCTTTTTAACACCATTAGTGTGTGCTTTGCCTTTTAAGGCTCCTGACATTCACTCAGGAGTGGGAACCAGCAGCAGCCCTCCCAGTGCATCAGACTCTCGGAGGGAAGGGCGGAGGGGGAGAGAAGGGTTGGCAGAAGAAAAGTCTGCAGCTCAGCGGGGCAGAGTGGCAAGAATACCCAGTTCTGCCCATCTGCCCTGGTAGCTCCTGGGCTTATGCTGCCTGGCATGGCAGAAGGACTTTCCTCTCAGGGATTCTTTGAAGGATGGTAGGAAGCAGGTGAATAGATTTGGTGTTCGTGTAACATCAGAGGGCAATTCTGACACGTCTGTTAATATCCAGCCCTATCAATTTTTGAACCATTTCCCAACATTTCTGTACTTAATATAAATATTTGTTGCATTGACTCAGATGCTTTAATGAAGAGGATTTCGGATGTCAACCTCTTGTTATTGTGATATTTTAGTTTACTTTTATTTCACGCTGGGTAAATTTGAGAAGAGACAGCTGGATGAAACTGTACAGCCAAGTTAATGTTTATACACAACTTCTTGGGTGAAGGTTTGATTGTGATTGACTCTCTACACACATACAGCTTTGTTCTTCTGGTAAAATAATAAGCCTGTAACTCTTCGGCTAAGAGGGAAGCATTATATCCTGGCCCAAATCTGTGTGGAATATTTTCTGTATCACAATATTTTACTTCTCAGATGGAATTGAATTGGATTTTATGGACTCACGTTCACCCAAAGTGTTCTGATAGAGCCAAACATCTGGGTCTTTTTTCTAATGGGAAAAAAGAAAGCTATGCATATCTGTTAATCTCTCATCCTAAATTTCTTGAGTACCTATTAGACGTTAATCACTTTAATACATGTTTTTAGGAGTCGAAGAGTATAAAGTTACAAAAAGGAATGTGAAGGAATTACAGTTTTATTGAGGGAATCTTACACAGATACACACAATATATACACACACAAACAATATACATACTTGTATATATGGAACAAAACAGGCATTATATTAGTGGAAAGCATAA